CTTGATTCTAGAATGGCAAATAAAAGTTAATTAAGATCTTTAAACTAAATTTGTTATAATTTTGTCTTATGACAGTCCCAACCTACAATTCTTACCATAATCTCTTTTATCTTTTCAGAGACAAACTAGCTGTTCCAAAATCATAAAGATCAAACATAATCTGGGGAACTCAGCAATGGCCTTAAGACAAAGAGGAAAAAGTATACAAACAAGGAATACTGTAAGTAACATCAAGACTGAATGAAAAGCATGCTCCTTTGTCAACTGCCAACTCACCAACTTTACAAGCTAGAACCTCAACTACATCTTTATATCCCTCATAACATTTAGCATAACATCTTGAACACAGATGGTATCAAATGCCTACTAAATAACAAATGAATGCCTTCAACGCAACTTCTTAAAATGTATTCAGGCTTTTGTACTGGTAAGAGATGGGCCAGAGAGAGCGCCGTAACCGTTGAAGCTTACTGCAGGGTCTGGCAGCTCACAGGAAATGGAGATCTAGCCCCGAAGATAAGGAAACTGAGGCACAGAATGGCAGCTCACAGGAAATGGAGATCTAGCCCCGAAGATAAGGAAACTGAGGCACAGAAAGTTTAAGTGATTTGCCCAAGTCTTCACAGCTTTTTTTAATCATAAGGCTGAGAAAATCACAAAGAACATGTCAGTGAATAAGCAAGCTCTAGATTCAGATAGTACTACAGATGTGGGAGATATTACGGATACTGAAGAAGAACTTGTTAAAGAATGTGAAGAAATATGGAAAGATATGGAAGAATATCAGAATAAATTATCACTTATTGGAACCAAGACACTCACTGATTCAAACGCTCAGCTATCATTGTTAATTATGCAAGTGAAATGTTTGACTGCTGAACTCAGACAATGGCAAAAAGAAACCCCTGAGATAATTTCCCTGACTGAAGATGTTTTGGTAACCTTAGCAAAAGAAGAGTTCCAAAAATTGAGACACGATCTTGAAATGGTACTATCTACTATTCAGTCAAAGAATGAAAAGTTAAAGGAAAACTTGGAAAGGGAGCAACAATGGTTGGATGAACAGCAACAAATAATGGAATCTCTTAATGTACTATACAATGAATTGAAAAATAAGGTCATGCCATTTTCTAAGTCAAGAATCTTTAATGAACTGAAAACTAAAATGCTTAATATAAGAGAATATAAGAAGAAACTCTTGATTACCTTGGGTGAGTTTCTGGAAGACCACTTTCCTCTGCCTGATGGAAATGTGAAAAAGAAAAATATTCAAGAGCCAACTGCACAGCTGATAACACTTCATGAAATGTTAGAGATTCTTATAAATAGATTATTTGATGTTCCACATGATCCGTATGTCAAAATTAGTGATTCCTTTTGGCCACCTTATATTGAGCTGCTGCTACGTAATGGAATTGCCTTGAGACATCCAGAAGATCCAACTCGAATAAGATTAGAAGCTTTCCATCAGTAAAATTATGATCTCTTTTTCACATAGCAAAGGATATTGTAATTCAAGAATAATGGAAACACAGCATTATTTGGATAAAGAACATTATTTGAAAATTAAGCACACAGTCCCTCTTCCTTTTATCTTTAAATGATACATGTTGCCATCTGTTACTCATTTTTAAATAGTCATTTCTTAGTCAGTGCTTTGGTGTTTTAAACTGTATGGACAAGAATGCAAGTAAATAATATTCTAGACATAAGACATTTAATGTACCTTACCTCATGCAATATTCTTTGGAAAAATTTTTGTTAATTTATGATATTACTAATGTAATATATTTCTTTTTAAATTTATAACAGTATCTTTCATGCATTTTGAGTTCTATTTGGTACTTTATATTTTAAGAATTATAGTGGAAAGGTCATTTAATTTGAAGATAGTTTTCAAATTGAAGTAATATCTCATGGAGAAGGCATAATTTTTAAATATTTAGCAAATTTGTTTCATATGTACTGCCTTATTTCTAGATTTGTGAAAAATTGGGATAAAAACTAATGGATAAAGCTAGCATGAAAATTATATTTTAATTTGTATTATATACCAAGTGACATTATATATTATTCATTCTTGATTCTGTTAATTATTAGCAACAAAATTGTGTTCATGATGTTTTGTTAATGCTTTGAATTTTCCATAAATAAAATTCTCTCTAAAAGTAAAAAAAAAAAAAAATGTATTCAGTAGTCCCTAAACCTTAACAAATATCCAAAGTCTTAAAGCAGGTAACAGAAAGGAGGGAAAGGAAAACAAAATGATAGGGCACGCATTCACTTCTCAACAGACTATTAGAAGTGCATGTTCTTACTGTGCTTTTTCAAGGTGACCTCTTAAAGCTGCCCTCAAATCTGAGCGTATACTGGGCAACCTTATCTTTAAATATAGTACTTACTGACACTTCAATACTCCCAGAGAATAAAAGGGCACCATTAAAAGAAGCAGGAATTTAAATATGAAAGCCCAACTCCTCCTAAAAGGGGGTGCCAAGATTTAAATCTTTTTGCCTCTATGGGCAGCCAGGAGGAAATTAACACAACAAATCTTGGAAGTATAGAAGTGTGTGAGGTGGGAATAAGAAGGAGTACTGTTTTCAAAGGACAGAGGGTTGACATGGGCAGAAGTCTTAGTTGTTGAACTTTAAAAAGTAACAAAGACAGCAGGTCATATTAACGCAAAAACCAGACAGCACAGATTAGCTAAAACCTGATCTTGACCCTAACTATAGGAACCTAGGATCAATGAATTCAAAAGCACCTCTTTATAGTACTCTGCATAGGCAAGTCTAATTGCACCATATAAAATTCCTCTCCTTGGCTCTGAAATAATATAGTATGAACATAGAACACTTATTCTATGAACATAGAACATTTGTTCAAAGAACATAGAACATTTGTTTAGCTTCAGAAATATATTTTTTCCTCTTCTTATTTATTCATACTTATCTGGTAACTTATCTTGGGTTGTTTAGAGGCCAAAATATGCACAATGTAATCACTCAGAGCCCCTTGTGGGATTTCCCAGTAGCAATCCAGTTATTTCCAAATTTATCATTATATAAGTTTGTTAAAAGTTTTTTTAGTTGTTTAATTTGGGTCTCTTTAATACTTCCTATTTGTAAAACCTCCTTTAACTTATACCTTCCCTTCCCAGTCATTTATTTTTTAATATTCAGTGGTTTAGATTAAGGGGTTATGAAATGTATTTACAGTGGGTAAGTCTTCACTTCAACATTCAGAAGAATGTTAAGGTACAAAGAAAAAATAAACACCTAAAAGAGAAGGTTTTTTTAGAATTTACATATTTTTATTTTGTCATTTGCAGCCTTCTTTGAACTCATATAAACAGATGCTAACACTCCCACTTTAAACGTTCAACAAGGCGTTTTTATTCTGCTTTTACAGAAGGCTAATCATCACCAAGATTTCTACAAGTTATGTATGAAGAAAGATAGCATCTGATTATTATTCTGAATAATGACTTGAATATATCAGGACAACTTCTTCCAGTGAATACTTTGCTCAAAAATATCAAGAGGTGCCATCACTATTAAGAGCCAGAAAGTACTGAACCAGAGAAAGCAGTTATATACAGGTCATGTCATTGGATAGACTCAACCAAATGTATAAACAAGAGTTTTGACTTCTTAGGGATAAAGAAATCAGTAAACAAATAAAAGAAACATAAAAGCACCACCATTTATCAACATACGTCTCTCTCTGTCCATTATTACACAAATGGCCGATGATTTTAAACAGCTGTTAAACTGGTAAATGAAAGGCTTGAACTGCCTATAAGTAAAAAAAAAACAAAACCTGGTAGCTCTTTTTTTTCCTTTAATTATCTGCAATAACGGCAGGCTAACCATGCCTGGCTCAACATATGATTTATAGACAAAGAATTAAACTAAAGAGTCTTCCTGGTGCATACAGACATAAATCATTTCTTATGAAGATGTACTTTTAAAAAAGAAAATGATATTCATGTGTATACTTTTCTATTTATCTTTTAAAATATGACTTACATATTTAAAAATACTAACTGGGGGTTGAATTTTCACAAAAAACAACTTTAAATCCTTACTAATTTCTTCACAATTCTCTAGTTCAGCAGTCTCCAACCTTTATGACACCAGGGACTGGTTTCATGGAAAACAATTTTTCCACAGACTAGGGCTGGGGAGTAGGAGGGGGATGGTATGTGAGTGGAGGGTGGGGGGAGGATACTTTGGGGATGATTCAAGCACATTACATTTATTGTGCAGTCAAACCTCTTTGCTAATGATAATCTGCATTTGCAGCTCCACCTCAGATCATCAGGCAGTAGATTCTCATAAGGAGTGCAACCTAGATCCCTTGCATCCACAGTTTACAGTAGAGTTCACATTCCTGTGAGACTCTGACATTAGACAGAGCTTATGTGGTGACGCGAACAATGGGGAGAGGCTGTAAATACAGATGATGCTTCACTTGCTCACCTCCTGCTGTGTGGCCAGGTTCCTAATAGGCCATGGACTGGTATTGGTCCTGGCCTGTGGGTTGGGGACTACAGTTCTAGTTCACCAACTCACAATGACTTAAAAAAACCAAACACGGGTGCAGTGGCTCACACCTGTAATCCTAGCACTCTGGGAGGCTAAGGTGAGAAGACTGCTTGAGCTTAGGAGTTTGAGGTTACAGTGAGCTATGATGATGCAACTGTACTCTAGCTGGGGCCATAGAGCGAGACTCTGTCTCAAAAAAGAAAAAGAAAAGTAAATGGAATACTAAATTAAAAATCCACTCTTTTCTATCATAGTATAAGTAATACAACTGATAGGACAGGAAATCAGAGCAATCTGAATTTTCTATATATTTTTCAAGAATTATCATCGACAATTTCAGGTGCTACCCATGGTCTCCTATCCACACTACTCTTAATAAATTTAAAGCAAACCCTCAGATGAAAAATATGAAACAGCAATATATCCTTCAAGATAGGAAGCACAACTTACTTCAACTTGAAAAAGTTCTCCAGCCCCCTCACAGTCATTGGATGTGATTATTGGGGTATGAATATGCACAAAGCCACTGTCCTGAAAGAAAAAGAGAAGCCACTCTTAGGATATTTGCATATGAAACAATTCCAAGAACACACACGTTTTCATATTATTAAAATGTCACACCTAGAGAATGCCATATCGAAACCATCCTTGATACCCCAAATATAAAACTATTGAAAGATCAGTTGAGTGTTTTACTATGCACAGCAGCACAAAGAATTTTAAATCAGGAAAAGACTCAAACATTAACTATTCCAACTTCTTCATTTCAAAAGTAAGGAAGTTGAGGCCCAGGGAGATTCAGTGACTTTCCAAAAGTCACACAACTAACTAGTCAGTGGCTGAGCCAAGACTGGAACCTAGGTCTTCATGCTCTCTAGTGCTATTTCCTCTTCCCATTTTTCTGACATACAGGTGGTGATTTAACAAATATACACACAGCAGTGCACTCTCTCTTACTCAAGGCTAATGCATTATGATGTTGCCTACATTGCTAGGGAAATACAAGGTGATCAATATAAATTTATCTTGCAATGAGACTTCAATTGTAATGAACCACAAAAAGGAGAAAAATTGGGTTGACAAACAAGGACTGAATAAATAAACAGCAAAAAAGGGGATAAATGATTTTTAGGAAGTCACTATCACTAAAATGATGGCACAATGCGTTCCATATGGCGCAGGTAGTATACTTCCTTTGCCTGAAGTAATTCTGAGCAGCAACAAACCTGTCCATTATTAAGGTGCCCAACTGCAGCCCTTTTGATTAGAAGTCTGAGACTATTTCCATTAGTGAACCACAAAAGCTGTTGCTAGTAGTATTGAAATGATCCAGCAACTTTCATTTTATGTTTCTTTCATTTTGACTATGGATGTAAGCAAAACGTTACATGAAGTATAGATGCGGCAGGGTGGGAGCAGAGGTAGCTAAAAGTGAATTTACAATAGAAAAGCAGAATAATATATGTTTAATGTAAAATTTTGGTCTTGAAATCAATACAATAAATTTATATGTACACATCTCTGCCAAGTTTGGTGGAATATAAAATGTCTCCGTGCATTACCAGGGGTTTCCCAAATATGACCCTTCCCGAATTTGAGTATGCTGGCCACAATACAAAGTACTCAGTCAACAGCTTGCCTTATGATGTGCATTGATTAAATATTCAATCTATAATTTAAGAGTCTCAGAAAGTATTCAGATATATACTAAATCTCAGAGCAATATGCCCAAAGGTGCTGCACAGAGCACATTATAGAGAACCAATGAAATGTAATCAATAACATTACTACATAAAATTTTTATCTCTTAGGAGCCAAGAATTATGGACATGAATCATTTATTCCACATGAATGTAGGCAACTATGAGCATGAGTGCAGTAAACAAAGAAAGGAAGTGAAAAATCCAAAGGAAATGAGGGTGGGGAATGGGAGTGGGAGAGGGAGGATAAAAATGTAATGGCTAAACATAATTGCCAAAGTTAGAACTGGTCGAATGCCACAAGAAACAGCACTGTAAATCTTATGAAAATAACTGTATGAGATTTTTTAAAAAAGAAAATACACAGGCAGTGGGAATTATTTTTAATACTTAACTAATGCTAAAACTTTCAAAAAGGGTCAGCAGCTTTTTAAGCTTTAATGCTGCTAGCAAGGCTTATCAAAGTCCATATCATAACCAAAAGCTATAAAGTAGAGAGTACAAAGGAAGAATAATACATCAGTGCAAAGTCCAAAAAAGTGAAAGTGGGTAGGGAAGTAAAAAGATTAAAAGGAAAGTAAATAGTAAGGAGTGCTGGAATACTGTCAGTACCTGCCTCAAATGGATTTCCAGTGTCACATACTTATACCATCCCACAGCAAAGGGTTTCTAATGGGTTTCTAATTAGAGAAATGAAGGCCAGAGAAGAGGCCAAAAATAAAAATAAACACTTTCACCCAATTTTTCAGATTCTACCCACTGCCTCCAAATATCTAAATATTTTGATACACATTCTAGAACTAAATAATTTATAAGGCTCTGAGTATCCCAAAATTATAAAATTCACATACTAAGGCCCACAATGGACTATATTTTCTTTTCCCTTAAAACCGAAATAACTATCATTATTTAATCAGAATCAACAAAAAAATGGAGCTTGAGCGGAATTACTAGCCACAAGCACGCCATTGGCAACAAAAGTGATAGCAAGAGATTTAAAAAATCCATAAAAAGCCAACAGAGGAACTCAAAGGCACAGCAGTCTGTGGCCATTCAACACAAGGGTAAAGACTACTCCACACATGGCAGGCTTTGAAAACACAGCCATATAGAGAATAAGCCCTGATAACTTAGAGGAAGAACCTTGACTCCTTTAGAAAGGGCAAAATCTTTCCTTTGGCTCAAACAAGGAAGACATGAAAGTATGTAATCCATTTGAGGAACACGTCCACTAGAATTTAGAAAAAACTGTAGCCAAAAGAGAAAATTCCTCAGTTATTTAAGAAACTTGACTTTTCTAAACGACTCATTCCTTGAGGATTCTTGATAGCCAGTTTTAGCACATAGCAAGTATGTCCATTTTGTGAGCAAACCAGGTTATACATAAAACATTTTTGATACTCAAACCAAGAAATAACTCTAGATCCTTAAAGTACTGTTTGAGTTTCTATTTTCCCCCCATATTTCTATACTTTTATTGATGGATTTGAAATTTATGAGAATTTAGTACTTCAAGTCTTAACATCTTTTAGGGAATCTAAAGTAACAAATTATAGAAATAGTACCAAATACTAGATACCATATAACTATTACTTCACATGTCCTATAGTATTTCAGTGATTTCTTTAAACAATTCAATCCTAAATATCACACATAAAAGTACATGAGGTATCAGGATTATATTTTCCAGGATTTTAAGTATTTATTTATTTATTTTTAAAAGAGATGGAATCTCGCTCTATCGCCCAGGCTGGAGTGCAGTGGCCCAATCATAGCTCACTACAGCCTTGAACTTCTGGGTTCCAGATTGCTCCCAACCATAGCATCTTGATTAGCTGGGATTACAACCACTGAGCCCTGGGGCCCAGCTCCAGGGCTTTACAATTAAAAAGTAAATTTATAGCACTCGAAAGGTGTCTACCCTTGGAACTATCACCAACAGCACTAAAATTCAAGTTATTTCCAGCCACTTATTTTGTTTTTTGAGACAGAGTCTTGCTCTGTCACCCGAGGTACAGTGCAGTGGTGTCACTGTAGCTCACTGGAACCTCCACTCCTGAGCTCAAGTAATCCTCCCAACTCAGCCTCCCTGAGTGTTAGGACTATAGGCATAAGCCACTGTGTCAGGCCCATTTTCAACCACTTAAATGTTTTTTTAAATTTTACTTTATTTTGCTTATTTTTCCTATTTAAATTTTTTCTATTTTGTTCTCTTATTTTTAATTGTTTACATACCTGTAAAATCTTCAAGTAATAAAGAAATGTATAAAGTAGGTAAAGTTCACTTGTCAAAAGATCGCCAATACTACCACCTAGTGGTCAAAAATCTATAAAATTGTTTCAGAATTAAAGTAGGTCCACTTTATTAGCTGTTGAAGCCATATGGCAAAATATATATACATATATTTTTAGATCTGAACTAATTTTATGTTTGTGTAGTTCAAGCACTACTGAAAAGCCACATGGAAGTTTCATAAGAAAGTTTATGAGAGCATATATAAAAGGACCCTTTCAAACTATAATGGAATGACATTGTATAATGTGATTTATTTTCCTTTGTTTAATTAAAAGTACATGCCTTAGAGCCATAATATTCTTTGGCTATTTCACCAGAAATTAACTCTGAAAAGAGCTCTTCAAAGAGAATTTGTATGAATTTGGATATAACCCAAGGGAAGGCTATGTATGGCTTCTGCAAATTAGCTGGATCTGGAGAATAGCACAAGAAGAGCTCCAAAACTACATGGAATGACACTGAAATTTATCTGATTGCCTTTAATTCCTTGCCTTTAGGGCCCTCCCATCAACAAGGAGGAGGGTCCCTTCACCTTGGCCACTTGTCAACCACATTAAACTGTGGCCCTCCCAGGTAAATGGTTGAAAACAAAGCTAAATTAGACAAATGCCTTTTTGTCATTAGATAAACCTACTTGATCAACACAAACTCCTTCTTAAAATTAGTGCTTACTTTATACAAAATATATATTTATGACCAAGATGGAGAAACAGAGACCAGTTTTACCCTCCCACCTAAAACAACCAAAAAGGCAAAAATAACAATAAAAAGCAAACCATGTGAACAATAGTTTTCAAGATACTGGATATCAGGCAATAAAAGCTGCCTCCCTCTGGGAGATGGCAAATGAACATGTCCCTACCAGGAGCCCAGCTTACTACTTTGAGATCTTCCAGGCCCCAGCACAAGGAAGGGGAAATGAGGCAGAACCTTGCTGACTCCCTGAGGTGAGAAGGTGCAGCTAAGAGTCTGAGGAGACCAAAGTGGCTAGAATTCATTGGACAGAATATCAGACAGGAGAGAGCTGCACAGAGAGAGAGCTGTAGAGGGACACCCTGGATTATGAGGTAGATCAGTGCATGCATGTGAGAAAACTAATGCTAGGGAAAGAATCATCTAAAAAGATTAAATCATGCCCAGTACTCAAACACTCACTGGAAACAGGACCTGTTCCCACAAACTGAAAAAGCTCATAATTCACAAGGCACTAGGTTGGATACTAAGAAAGGCCTTGCTTCACTAGTGGGAAATAATTAATACTAGATTGAGCACTGCTCCACACCTGTCTAACAAAATCACAGAAGCAACACCCCAAAGGATCAGTTTTCAAGTAGTATAGCTGCACACCAGAACAAAGCTCAAGAAACTTTATAAACATACAGCACCCAGCAAAAATTCACAATGTCTGGCGCCCGAAGATTAGCAGGCATGCGAAGAGGCAGGTTTGAAACCATAACCTATAAAGAAGAGACTAATGAATCAATCAAAAATGATCCATAAATGATAGACATGTTAGAATTAGAAGACATAAAAACAGTTTTTAAACACTTATTAAAAATGTATTCCATGTTCAAAAAGCAGACATAAAAGATATTAAAAAAACAGCCCAAATTGAACATCTAGATATGAAATGCATAATGTGTGAGACAGAAAATACACTGAATGGGATTAAAAGCAAATTAGGCACTGAAGAAAAGATCAGTAAACCTGAAGACATAGCAATAGAAATGATCCTAAAGAAACCCACACAGAAAAAAGAATTAAAAAAAAAAAATAAAAGAACATCATTAAGCTACATGGTATCATCAAGTGGCCTAATATATGGATAATATAGGTTCCCAAGAGGGAGGTAACAGAAAAATTTTTGAAGAAATAATGGCTAAAAATACTAGATGAAAATTATAAAACCACAGATCTGAGAAATTCAACAAACCTCAAACACGAGAATCATAAAGAAAACTATACAAAGGCACATTATAAATAAATTGCTAAAAAACAGTAATAAAATCTTAAAATCAGCCAAAGAAAAATGATATGTACAGAAGAACAAAGATAAGGATGACATAAGATTTCTCACTGGAAGCAATGCAAATGGGAAGATAGCAGAGCAGCAATTTTAAAGTACTTAAAGGAAAAAACTTGTCAACCTAGAATTCTCTATCTAGGAAAAATATCTTTCAAAACTGAAGGTGAAATAAAGACATTTTCATACATACAAAAGCTGAAAGAATGTATCACCAGTAGATCTGCATTACAAGAAATATTAAAGCAAGTCCTTCAGGCAGGAAGAAAATTACATCAGTTGGAAACCAAGATATATACAAAGAAATGAAGAGCCCAGAAATAGTAACTACATAGGTAAATATATATAAGATCATTTTCTTATTGTTTAAATCTCCTTAAAAAAATTGCTTGACCAAAAACAGTAACAATGAATTATGGGATTTATAACATGTAAAAGTAAAATGCATAGCAACTATAGCATAAAGGATGAGAGGAAAGAAAGACAACATTACAAGAAAAAGGTGAGTTGCTTGATATGTACCATAGCCATTTTAAAATAAATGAATCCAGTGTAAGGACCATCCATAAAAAAAGACAAGGAAATTGGTGACAAAACTCATACTTTTTGAGAAATACAAAATGAGTGTTGAGGCGGGAGGATCATTGAGGCCAGGAGCTGAGAGAACAGCCTAGGCAACAAAGCAAGACCTTTACTATAAAAAAAAGTTTTAAAATTAGCTGGATGGGGTGGTGTGTGACTGAAGTCCCAGCTACTCAGGAGGCTGAGGCAGGAGGATTGCTTGTGCCCAGGAGTCCGACACCACAGCAAGCTATGATCGAGCCACTGAGCTTCAGCCTGGGCAACAGGGTGAGACCCAGTCTCCAAAAGAAAAAAAACCAAAAAAACCCTCCAAAATAAACCCAAAATATGTGCTAATCAATGTTATTGGTAATGCTTCCAATCAACAGTAGGCTATTAGTTAAGTTTCGAGGGAGGCAAAAGTTATAGTTGGATCTTCAACTGTGTAGGGGGTCGGTACCCCTAATCTCCATGTTGTGCAAGAGTCAATTGTAGTTTAAAAGTAAAAGGACGAGAAAAGATACACCACACTAACACTAACCAAAAGAAAGCTCTAGTGGCAATAATATCAGACAATGTAGATGTGACAGCAAAGAATATTAATAGAAATAAAAAAGATTGATAAAATTGATATACCTTTAACCAGACGGATCAGAAAAAAGAGAAGACAAATGTTATTTTCAGGAATGAGATGATATTACCACAGATTCTACAGATATTAAAATAATAAGGGGATATTATGAAAAACTTTATGGCAATAAATTTAACAACTTAAAATAAACAAAATGGATCAATTCATTGAAAGACAGACTACCAAAGTTCACTCAAGAAGAAACAGATAACCTATATACTTGCATATTTATTGAAAAAATTAAAATTACAGTTAAACCCCCTCTACAAATTTTTAATTGCACACTCAGATGGATTCACTAGTGAATTCCACCTCACATTTAAGAAAGAAACAAACGTTTTCCATCTCAAAAGACACAGAAAAAATATTTTACAAAACCCAATATCCACTCCTGATAAAACTCTTAGCAAACAAGCAATAGGAGGGAATTTCCTTCAATCAGATAAAGGGCATCTATGAAAATCTATAGCTAACATCAAATAACTGGCCAGAAAGACCAAACCAATGATAAGTGTAACATGGATGAATCTCAAAATAATTATGCTGAGTGAAAGAAGCCAGACAAAAGAGTACATATTGAATGATTTCATTTACAGAAAATTCTAGAAAATGCAAGCTATTAAGCAGATCATGGTTGCAAAGAGACACAAAGAGAGAGAGAAGGGATAATCAAGGGTCAAAGGGGAATTTCTGGTATCTTACCTTAAAGAAAGAATGAATAGCAGCTGTAGCTTCACTGCGAACCCTCAGTATAGAACCCAGGACATTAGTCCTACACCTAAGGTGAGGATACTGTCTCAGGTACTCCAGAGGATGCCTCTCTTTATATTTGATAGGGAAAGCCTGCCAATAAATGGAAAAACAAATTAGAAACTAAAAAAGATACAGTTTAATAAAATCTGTTTCTAAGGCATTTCTTAAGTAGTGCTTTAGAACAAAACTAAGATACTTTCCTTCTATGCTTAACTAATTACAGTCCACATTATTTCTACCAGGTAAGTAGAATGGTGGGGTGGAATCAGAGATATACAATTGAATCCAGCTCTACTACTTATTAGCCAAGGACTTGGACTTGGCTTCTGAATGACTTATAGTTTATAAAATATGACAAATAATTCTTAGCTCTGGAGGTTAAATTCAGATTATTGAAACTAGATTCAGTATAACTGCATTAGGATTTGAATTCATTACTTTTTTTCCCTACATGGAAAAAAACTGAGTGTTAAAGTTATTATAATAGAGAAGCTTTATTAAAATAAGTAATGTTAAAATGGATATATTTAAAAACCGGAGATAACTGAAACATTAGAATTGCATGTGTTTTTATCATTTAGTGTTTAAGATGTTTTAAGAAAATTTTTTTTTTAAGTCTCAGTTGGAGTCTCAGGGTTCTTAGCCCTTGTTTTTCATTTGGGGTTGGAGGGAGCAAGGGAGAAAACTGATTTGGGAAACTATGTGAAATAAGACTTTCAAAAAAGTTTGGAAAGGAGGACCTAGTGACATGAAAGTTAAATGGGTAAGGAGGGTGTGCACAGAACCCTAGAAGAAAACTAAGTCAGTGACTGGCCTCAGCACAATACAGGCGGCCAAAAGAGCAGATAGGAATCAAAACAGCAGTGTCTTGGGGGAGAATAGGATTCCAGAACCTTAAAACTGATGATGGAGGCTGGAATCCTAGCACTCTGGGAGGCCATGGCGGGAGGATCCCTTGAGCTCAGGAGTTCAAGACCAGCCTGAGCAAAAGCAAGACCCTGTCTCTACTAAAAATAGAAAAATAAGTTGGGCATGGTAGCATGTGCCTGTAGTCCCAACTACTCGGGAGGCTGAGGTAGGATCACTTGAGCCCAGGAGTTTGAGATTGCTGTGAACTAGGTTGACATCACGGCACTCCACTCAGTGAAACAGAGTAAGACTTTGTCTCAAAAAAAAAAAAAAAAGTACTGATGATGAACTGTATTTGATATTTATGGTTCAAGATTTAGTGAAAATTATTTGAGAAAGATTATTATAATCCAAACACTACTATTTAATACAGGATAATGTGAAGAAAAGGGAGTTAAACACAACTAAAGTCAAGAAAACTGATAGGAGAAAAGAGCTTTGTATATGAAGAAGGAAGGATATATAGGAATGATAAGGATTTGGACATACTGAAAAGGAATCTTTGGTTATTTGGTGAATAGGAAAAGAATATCTTTTTTTTTTTTTAAGGAAAAGAATATCTTTAATTACAAATGGGTTCTGGGTTAGTGTTGTATAAACATCCCTCCCCTACCCCCACCCTAGCTTTCTTTCATTAATCCTTGAACTTAGGTTAAATATAGTTTGAAAAGCTATTAATAATATATTCATAGTGCCTTACAGATTGAATGTTTTTTTTCAATTATTTCTGCCAAGAACTGGATTTGGATGAATGCTCTCGATATGCGTATAGGAATGAATTGAATTTGCTTCTAGTCCCCAAATTGAGTTTTTAACTAGTCTAAAATCTCAGTGGCATTTTTGTCATATTTTGCCAAATGAAGAACTGTTAGTTCTTGGAGAGGGAAAAACATGATGGATTTAACTAGTTTAACACATAGATGCCACACTAGGAAAAAAAATATTTCCCTGGGGTCATGGTGTTTTATTACAAAAATAGAATAAAACTTCAAAAACAAAACGATCCTTTCTAATTGAATGAAAAATTTATTTTTTATTGTTTTCTGTGCATGAGTTATATACAACTTGAATAATATTAATAGTTCACAGGGCTCAAGGTAAAGAGACGTGTGAATTACAAATGCTTCCCAAGGCTCCAGGCTCAAAACTATCCTGAGTTAAATACAACTCACATGGCAGTTAATGTGTTAAAAATTCACTCCTTTAATCCTTCCATTTAAATTTCTTATTTATGATTATCCAGTGTAGACTTTGCTTTGGGGCCATAGGGAGTATTTTAAAGATTTTAATGCTATTGTTTGTTGTTGATTTTTTTAAGCCCTTCATTAATTTTGCTTTCTTTGGCTACCTTTGTTTCTTTTCATTTAGTTGGCTTTGTGGTATTTATCCTTCTAGAGGATGGTTCACTTTCCCTTTGTTCTTGGATAGCTTCACAAGTTGTTTTTTGGGGAAGGGATACTAGTGGGGCAACAAAAATGATAATTGCTTAAGGTGAAACTGTTATACCACACCAAATAAACACATTACTGGAATTACTGATGTTCTTTTTAGAAACTTGTCCCAGGATACGTTTTAATTTTCCTAGAGACAAGGTCTTGCTATGTTGCCCAGGCTAGATTCAAACTCTTGGGCTCAGTGATCCTCCTACCTTACCCCCCAAGTATCTTGACCTAGAATATTAATGTGGCAATAAGATGTCATTTGAGCAGTGCAGCTGTAGATAAATTAAACCCACACACCAACTAATCTATGTACTATGCAGACCTGGGGCCTACTCTCACAGAACTGACGCTCTGGTGAAGGCCATGGACAGACTGTAATTAACACCCTGTTTGACAAATTGCCCTCATGTAGGAAATACAGGGCACCTTTGGTACATATAAGGGAGTGACTGTCCCAAGATTTTGAGGGTCATAAAAAGTTTTCTGCAGGAGACCTTCCATAAAGTTATAACTGTGGCAGTTATGCTTACTGCTGAAGTCTCCGAAAGTAGGGAGGCAACTAACTGGGTAAAGTGGGGCTTGAGTATTCACTCTTCAATGTAGCTTCATTCAGAAAACTTCAGTTTTCCCCTCTGGTTTTTTTTTTTGCTTTTTTTTAAAAGACAAAAGATTTATGTGTTTTGCTTTTGTTTAAATCGTAAAGTATTCTTTCAGGTCCATACAGGAAGCTGATACACCCCATTCCTGTAAAGACCTGAAGAACTCTTCTTTCAAGTACTCGTGAAAAGACAGATGAGTTATACTGGACCTTCTTTGGTAGTAAGGTCAAAGAAAACTTTTCTTCCATAAGAAAAACATTTCCTCCCTTATATAACTCCTTTCACTCCCTCAGTTTTCCATTAGTGGCTGAAGCTATCTTTGGTACTTCAAAACTCTTACAAAAAATTGCCAGTCAGGGAGATACTTCTCCAGATCTATTTGATAGGCAGGCTCCCTTACCTCTTGATAGTTTCCTACTCAATGCTGTGCATAATCAGATTTATTTTTCCTAGTGGTTTATTTATTTATATTTTAGATACAGAATCTCATTGTTGCCCAGACAAGAGGGCAGTGGTGTGATCATAGCTCACTGCAACCTCCAACTCCTAGACTTCAAGCCATCCTTCCACCTCAGCCTCCCAAGTAGCTGGGATGGCAGGCACGCACCACAACATCTGGCTAATTATTTTTATTTTTTGTAGAGACAAGGTCTCACTGTGTTGCCCACTCTTGGCCTTAAGTGATCCTCCTGCCCCAACCTCTGAAAGTGCGGGGATTATAGGCCTGAGACACTGTGCCTGTGCCCTGCCTAGCAACATTCAAAAAATTCTAATTCTGGCAATTGGCTATTTACTATAAACAAATATATATTCTGTGTAAGTCTTTATAACAATGGAAATAAAATGGACTCAAGAGCAGGCTTTTAAGTTTACTTCTGATGGATTTTCAGAGTCAATATTACAAGTAGATCTTTATGAAAACTGGTATAATGGCATGTTATGTTTGATAGATAGCAAGATAATCACTAAAATAGGTGGCTTTTAAGGTAAAACTTTACCTTACATTTTAGTTAAACTCATATTGTGTTATGTTTACCAAGGCCTTAACTGGAATAACAGTACAGTGGTTTTCAAACATTAATTTGCTTAAGAATCACCTCAAGAGATTGTTAAAACAAATTTGCCTTTCTAAGGAGCTAACAGCAGTATTGGTGACACCAACATTGCTGGCTATACTGTTTTAGTCCTTTTATAGTTACTGGATATATAAACTACGGAACAAAAGATTATGCAGATTCTTACACATGGGTATGCACAAATGAATCAAGGGGTATTTTGAATGGTTTAAAGTTATTTTCAGACTTATTAGGCTTTGCATTGATAAAGTTACCAGAAGCTTGGACCGAATGTTCCAGGGGCACTCCTATATTTTTGTTCCCTCAGTATGTAATAACTTCACCAGAAATTTCGATGGCCTATTCTTCACTTTTTAAGTCTTTCCTTATATAATGGGATATATTATCCCATTTTGCTTCCCAGCTTTATTTTTGTCAATAGCACTGAATCACCATATTATGTTTATGGGTTACATACTATGTTTACTCAGTTATCTGTGTCTCCCTAAGCTAGAATAGAATATAAGTTCCAAGAGGGCAGGAACTTGTTTACTGCTGTATCCCCAGTGTTTAATGCTTGACATTTAGTATGTAATCAACAAGTACCGATTTAATGAAGAATAGCAACATCTGCCTTTACCTCCATGAGTGAGTATAGATTCTAAAATATTCACCAGGATAAAGCACATTTTCTGGTCCATTTATGCACTGTTTTACAGAGATAAAGGCTGGATGTAGCTTGTGGCTATTACAGATGCTTCCCCAAGTATGGCTGATACACTTGTTCCATTGTTGATAAAGATGTGAATCTGATACATAGAAAAGAAATTAACAACTAGCACTCCTAGATCAGTTAGGGCCCCAGCAAGAAACAGTTCATTGCAGATGGCTCAACTGAAGTATCTTTTAAGAAAGGGTCTACTTGGAGTTATGTTGGTGGTTCAAAGAGAATAAATACAGGGTAGCAAGACATCCAGGGGAAGCAGGGGCTGCTACCACCCCTAGGACTAGAGGAGTAAAAGGAAGAAATGATGTGGGTGGAGTGGAGAAGGGGTCATTTGGTTGGAATGGTAGTTATGGAGATGGAGCATTTAAGAAGGGAGAGTGGAAGAAAGACCTCTCTTTTCTCCCATTCTCTAATTTCTAGTATCGTCTAGTATCTTTCAGTCTAACTTGAAGCCAGCTGGTAGTGCAGTCCTGTAGAAAAGAAGCTGAGAGAAGGGTAAGTGGCGATCAGCACATCAAATCTGTGATTCTTTTTTTTTTAGATTTGTGTGTGTAGGAAAAAGCTAGGTTTTAAGAAAAGTAAGTGGATTTAAAGAAAAGCATTAAACTATAGTACAAGTAAAAATCATGGCTAAAGTTTGGGAAACACTGGGAAAATAGTTCTATAAGCAGCACTGTATTTGGCACAGTCCAAAACAGTCACTTTAAGATTTCTTTTCTGATTTATTTTAGAATGCTTTCATTATATCTTTTTTTTCTTTTTGAGACAGAGTCTCACTCTGTCATCTTGCCTAGAGTGCAGCGGTATCATCATATTAATATAACTTTGCCTCTTATCCTCTGTGGAGCAGGCTCAACTGGATCATTCCATTAATCTTGCAGTTAAGTGACCCTGCATTTTAAAGACTTGAACTTTTTTGGTGTACTTTATAGCTGCAGTCCCCAAGCCCCAGGTCCCCAACCCACACGTTACCCCTACCACCATCCACCCTACACAGCAGCTCCCCTCCCCATCACTCAGAGCATCACTGCCTGAGCTCTGCCTACTCCTCCCATCCCCAGTGGAAAAACTGTCTTCCATAAAACCAGTCCATGGTGCCAAAAAGGCTGGGGTTGCTAAGCTAAGTTACTTTCACTGAGGCTCAAATGTTATTTATGAAGTTTGCATTCATTAGCTGTCAATTACTTCTTTCAAACAGAGAGGTTAGGGTTAATTTATACAAAATATCCTGTTTGGCACACAGGAGTCCAGAATATTATAAATATTAAAAATTATGTTTTCTACCACTGTGTACACACAGCTAGTGTTCAATTTTAAAATTACCTATATATCTTGAAAGCTCACAATCATTCATAATCAATCAGTGCACTTTATTACTATTTATCAATGTCACTCACTGGTGTCTAAGAACATGAAGGAGGGTCAACTAGCTTTCTTCTATCTAGCAGAGCAGCAAAGATTTACAAAAAAATTTTAAAGGAAATTATGGCCTCAACTTGAAATACCCTGCCCATACTCATGTTACAAGATTAAGAAGACAGATATATATGCTTTCACACAAAAATCAAAGTTTCAATAAAAAAGATTAGAGAAGCTAAAAAAGAGCTATACTGGCAGCCTGCTTCTTTCAGTTTCATCTATTCTTTTTAGGCCTTGTACACATACTAATTTTTATGTTGTATAGAAACAGGCACTTTCACTTACTAAAGAGAAAATGTGACCACATTATAATAGAGATCTGGGGACTGTTAGGGGTTCAGAATTCCCTAATGTTGGAATACTTTAAATGACAGAAGGGGAAGGGAAGGTGAAGAAGGTACTGACATCAATAGACGCCAAGGGAGAACAATTAAGAATACAGTTGTGCCTTATTGGCAGAGGATATGTTCCGAGACCCACAAGGGGGATGCCTGAAACTATCTATAGTACTGAATCTTATATTCACCATGTTTTTTTCTTATACAGTAACAAGCAGGTAGTATATGGAGTATGCATAAGCTAGACAGAAGGATGATTCACTTGCTGGGCAAGATAGAGTGGGACAAGATTTCATCATGCTTCTCAGAACAGTGTGCAATTTAAAACTTATGAATTATTCCTGCTATTTTCCATTTAATATTTTCAGATCATGGCTTGCCGTGGGTAACTGAAACTATGGAAGATGAAACTGCAGATAAGGGGGGACTGCTGTAGTGAAAAACATGGCAAATTTTTAATACTCATGGATCAGTCTTAAAAAGTAAAACCAAAAATAATTATGTTCTCCATTTTGCTCTTGATTTTCAAATGATCCCACAGTCTATTTTTCAGAAATCTTAGAACTTGATTCTTGATTTTACATGTCAATTAGAATTTCTTGGAAAATTATTCAGAATGACATTTTTAAAGAAAATTTTCCCCATTTCCTTATGTTTAATTTCTCCCTATTATTCCAAAAGAATTAAAACTGAATTAAAATGATATAATTTCCCTTCATTTCCTCAATTTTTGTTCATTAAATATTTGAAGACAATTATAGCAAAAACACAGAAGTCAAATGGCTAGGAAATAAATTTCAACTATGACATACATCAGCTTATAACCTTTGGCAAGTCATTTTACCCAGTTGGGCCTCATTTTCCCCACCACTGTAAATTTATAGAACTAGATTGATAATCTTTGATTTTATTCCCTCTAACCTCTTTAGCAAACTCATAAAGCTATTAACAGAAGAGTCTTGCAAAAACAGGCATAAATATGTCTTAACACAGAATTTCTTGTCTCTGTTCAGCCTAAGCTACAACACTCTAAATCAGCACCATTTGAAAGAACTTTCTGTGATAAAAATGTTCTGTAACTGCAATATCCAATATTGTAATAACCAGTAGCCACATGCAACTTCTGAGTATTTGAAATGTGGCTAATGCCACTGAGGAACAGGATTTTATTTTATTTTAGACACAGGGTCCCACTCTGTCACCCATGCTGGAGTGCAGTGTCATGATCATAGCTCACTGCAGCCTCGAACTCCTCAGCTCAAGATATCTATCTGCCTTGGCCTCCCAAAGGGCTGGGATTATAGATGTGAGCCACTGCACCTGCCCAGAATTGAATTTATTTAATTTTATTTGATTTAATATCAAACAGCCATAGGTGGCTACTGCCTACCATTATTAGATGATCTGTTCTAGATCATGCACAAGTCATTTCTACCTTTCTTAAGAATGTGAAACTGAAATGGCCTGCCCAGGTATGTCATTGTGGCTAACTGGGCATGTTTGTAAAAGCAGGGAGTTTCAACTGTGACAGGCACCAGAGATGTTTAGATTAACGGTTAGCTCTCACTCATAAGACTACACTGTCTAGGCAAATAATTTTTGCTACTGTCTCTATAGGCTTCTATGGCCTGTTTCAATTACCTGGGAAGTCATAATTGAAACATGTTCTAAGTGTCATCTTTCCAATAATCACACTTACAACAGATTGCTAATATTTTAAACTAAGCCTCAGTATTAGAAAGCATACCTTAGCATCACAATTTCCAATAATTTCAATTTTTTCTGCCTTCAGTTCCACATTTTGCCTTTTGGATGGACTTTTTACCAGCAGCCCTTGGACTTCCACAGAACTCCCAAAAGCCAATTCTCTATAGTAACAAAAAACCAACACAAAAAAGATATCACTACATATAACTTTCATTTTAATAGAAATCTTGCTATCAGAACATTATAATACTTAATGACAGAAGTTTTTACTCTTAATTGGGTTAAACAATCTTCAGAATTTATAGATACTCTATTGCAGGGGTCCTCAAACTTTTTAAACAGGGGGCCAGTTCACTGTCCCTCAGACTGTTGGAGAGTGCGTACTGTGGGCCCGGGACGAGTCAGCTGCTAAGCAGGACAGGCAGTGGCGGCAAAAACACCCGGAGGGCTGGATAAATGTGCTAGGCGGCCTGTATGTGGCCCGAGGGCCGTAGTTTGAGGACACCTGCTCTACTGTATACCAAAATTATAAAAATGAATTCCATAAGCTTTAAAATGGAAACAAAGAGAGGTAAGGATTTGAATATAAGTATTTGGAATTAACAGGTTATATAATTCTCCTTTTTAAAAAGTTGGCCAAAACCTTTTTAAAAGATTGCAGATCACTGTAAAAACTGGTGAAATCAGAACAAGGTCCGTAGTTTCGTTAACAGTACTATACCTATGCTAATAACCTGGCTTTGATAAAAGATGTTATCATTTTAGAATAAGGTCTGCAGTTTCGTTAATAGTACTATACCAATGCCAATAACCTGGCTTTGATAAAAGATGTTATCATTTGGAAAGCTGAGTGAAAAGTACATGGCAATCCTCTGTACTATTTTTGCAATGTATTACTTGTTTTTAAGTTTAAAAAAAAAGTTAGTTAGCTAATGGCCTCAGAACACAGAACTACTTTCCGGTTGACAAGTATAGGTTCTAATTCAAGTTCATCCACAAATTAACTATATGACTACTATGGAAAATCATCTAAATTCATTTAAGAATCATCTATTAAGAAGTAGGCTGGACTAAATGATCATCCATCCATTCTAATTCTAACATTTCATAACTACAGAGTGTATAAGTGCCTCCTTTAATAAACTGTATTGAAATATAATACAGTATAGTATACAAAAAACTGTATTAAAGTAAATGTTAGAAGATTCCTCACTCAGTTTTGTTTGCTTGCTACATTTACTACATGCTATTTCTTTTAAATTTATTCTTATGTAATTTATATAAATAAGATTGTCCACTATTGCATTATAGGAGGAAAACATCTGGTATACTCTCTCCAAACCTAAAAGGGTATTGTGAGATGCTCTGACTTAAAATATGCACTAATTGACATATATGAATTTTACCCTAACGGCTGTTGGGAATATCTCAAAGAGATAGGCAGTCATCCTTTAGAACCTCTAAAATGTAGGTATTAGACATACCCATGTGATTGTTTTACTGATACACATAATCAGAAAAAGTAAAAACCTTTAAAAAGGTTACTATTACATCATAACAATCTTTTTTGTTCTGCCCATTGACCAAATAGTCTGAGACTCATGAATCTATTCAATGTGTGAAGAGCATTAACACCAACAATCCTTGAAATAGCAAAGCATACTTATTATAACAAACTAGAATAATGTTCTCCTCCTCGGAGTTCATATCCTAACATTAAAATGATGCTATTTTTAAAACTTGATGAATGAGACCATAAAATTTCTTCCATTTATTTAACAAGTTAACAACTGGTCACTTTGTCAGCACACTGCTAGGGCCAAGAATACAAAAGTGAGTACATTCCTAACTTCAAGGAACTAAGAGTGTAGCAGAAGTCAAATAAGAATACAATTGATTACTATCCAATGTGATACATTCTAACAGAGGTAGGCACAGGATGCCAAGGGAGCATAGAAAAGGGGTACTTGACACAGCCAAGGCATGGGAGCATCAGATGATGCCAAATTGAAACTATGAAAGACAAGTGAAGAGGCTATATCAGGCAGAGGTAGCAACGTGTACAAATGCTAAAAGATAAAAAGACCAGAACAGTTTAAAAGTGATGCAAGTAAAGACCAAAACAAAGCACAGGAGAGGGATACTGGCATGTGATGATGTCAGATAGAGGAGGAAAGGTCTGAGCTTGAAGGATTTTGGTTCCAAATATTTAGACTTGATCCTCAAAGCTATGAAAGCAGATTTACTTGGGAAGATCACTCAAGGAGTAATGTAAACATAGGATTAGGGAAGTAGGAGGCAGAGGAGATGAGAAAAAAAATCAAAGAACTCTGAAAAAACAAACAAAAAACCAAAATAAAACTCACCTACTGTCAAAGCTTGAATCTGCAACAACCTGAAGGCTTTCCAAAGATGACCCATCATTTACATGCAGGAATAAGACTTCCTTCTGGGATCGGACTGAACGAATCCACCCCTAAGGAAGAGAAATACATTTAAGGAGCTTAGAACACATAGCACATTACACTTTCATTACATATACACATAGAAGACTAAATGAAAGAAGAAAAAAATGTACTCACAATCCTGCCTCAACAAATTAACTGCTTTTAGTTTACCCATATGCATAATAATTTGATTCTTATCACAGTGAGATATACACTTTGGTATTCTATCTTTTTTGTTTGTTTTCTTATTAAAGCTCATCATTTTGAATGGATGCCTAATATTCCATCAAGGTGATAAGCCTAATTCACAAAACCAATCCTCCCAATATTGGATATTGCAGGTCTTTCCTCCTTGACTCCCACCCCTGCCCCCCAGTTATAAATAACTGGGCACTATCTTGATACCTTTCTCCTTTTTATATCCAATTCCCAGAAGGGAAATTATGTACTTAAAGATTAGAAATATCTTTATGGGATTTTTTTCCTTTTACAAAGTAGCATACAAGAAAAGCTCTCAAAAAATTTCTCATTATGTGGGACTGCAAATTAGTGCAACCTCTGTGGAAAAGAATTTGGAGATACCTCAAAGAGCTAAAAATAGAAATACCATTCGATCCAGCCACAGCACTATTAGGCATCTACCCAAAAGAGAAAAAGACATTCTATAATAAAGACACCTGCACCCAAATGTTTATGGCAGCACAATTCACTATTGTAAGGATGTGAAAACAACCCAAGTGCCCATCAATTCATGAGTGATTAATATCTGGTATATGTATACCAGATATGGTATACATATATATGGTATATGGAATAATATACCACTGTTGTTTCAATAATAAGAAACAACAGTGATCTAGCACCTCTTATATTTTCCTGGATAGAGCTTGAGCCCATTATCTGAAGTGAGGTATCACAAGATCAGAAGAAGAGGCTCCACATGTACTCGCCATCAAATTGGCACTGACTGATCAACACTATGATGCTCACACGGTAGTAGTATTCTCCAGGGATTAGGGGGTTGGGGGATAAACTCACAACTAATGGACGCAGTGAGCATTGTAGAGGGGAAGGGCATGCCTCTAATCCTCGCTTGGGTGAGGCAATGACATAAAATATAACCAAAATGTTTGTACCCTCATATCCTGAAATAAAAAAGAAAAAGAATTTCTCATTATGAACCCATATTAAGTGACACATTAATTTTCAAAGACTGTCTGAATTTAAAGGTTAGGTGCATGCAAGTACAATTGAGATGTCTTCAAGTAGACCAGTAACACTAAAAGCATCTCTCTCAGATACATCCAACTTAAATTTCACTAGCACATTAGTTAGGAGAAAATAATGTTTTTCTAGCAGACACTGAATTACAGTGTCCTACAGGTATAAAGCAAATGAGCAGACAGGCATTCACCATTAAACATGCTGGGAAAAAAGCAAGAGATGATCCTACTTAGAAACACTGTACTGACCCTTATTTTCCTTGTGTCCCCACCATACCCTATACACACTATTATTAAAAGCCCTTCTGTCACTTATTTGCATACTTATAATGCACTGAGTGAAAGAATAATGCTTTAGTTCCTTTCAAGTGTACTGCCAGGCACATAATAATCTTAAGTAGTAACTTCAACATAGTAATCCATGAATGTTTTTCAGTGAAAGATTATTTACCATGTATTGAACATCTATGTAACAAATGGTTTACCACCTTCATAAACTGTTTCATCTCACAACAACTCTATGGATTATCCCCATATAAAAGTGTAGAAACTGAGGCTCAGAAAAGTTACATAACTTCCTAAGGGTCACACTTGTGGTAAAGGGTGGAGCTTGAATTTGAACCCAAGTCTATTTAACTAAAAAGCCCTTGACCTTTCCCCTGGGCTACCTTGAATTAGGTATAAATTGCCTCAGCCTCCTGTACAAGGCCCTTCATAATGTGGAGCATGCTTGTCTTTCTGGTTTCATCTTACCATGCTGCCTGGAAAGTATCTGCTGTTTGGTCATGCTCAATCAGTAGTAATTTCCAAAGCAGCATTTTCTTACATTTACTTATTAGTAAAAGTTAACATTTATTGAGCAATTTTTAACATGCTCTTAAGCTCTTTATTATGCCACTTAATAATCATAAGAACTTAGAGAAGAGGTTATTACATTTTAGAGATGAAGAAATATATTTAGAGATGTTAGAATAACCTCTCTAAATATTCCAGGTTCACAGTTACCAAGTAGTGGAGTTGGGATTCAAATGTAGTTCTTACTTCAAAGTTCTTGTTCTTAACAAGTTTTTCTGGGATGCTACTTCTATCCATCCCCAGTTCTTCTGCCTCTGAAGGGTAACACATCCTTCAAGACTCAGCTGAAATGTCATCTCATGCAAGAAATCTTGACCTCCTCACACAGTTAAGGAATTTCTGTTTTCTCATAGCTCTTTACTTATATATACCACTGCCAGTTATCACACAGTTGTAATTATTTTTTTTAACCATTAGACCAGGGCTGGACAACAGAAATATGTGAGCCACATATGTAATTTTAAATTTTTCTAGTAGCCACATTAAAAGTAAAAACAAATAAGTGAAATTAATATTTAACCCATTATGCCCAAAATATTCTCAGCATATAATCAATACAAAAGTATATTAACGAGATTGTTTTCAATTCTTTTTTGTTCTTCAAAATTGGTATGTATTTTACTCTTACAACATGTCTCGATTTGGACTAGTCAAATTTCAAGTGCCCAGAGTCACAACTGGCTGGTAGCTACCATATTAGACTGAACAGGACTAAAGAAAAAGCCCCTAACCTGGGCAGTAGGTTCTGTTTTCATCTTCAAATTCTCTCTTAACTAGAGCACAGAAGGTATTAATAAATGTATACCCAATTAATAGGTCCATGCAACAAAAGGTTTTGATATGGATAATGGAAAGACTACTAAACCCTGGATGGGCCCAGTGGCTCACACCTGTAATCCCAGAACTTTAGAAGGCTTACACAGGAGAACTGCCTGAGGCCAGGAGTTTAAGACCAGCCTGGGCAGCACAGTGAGCCCGTCTCTACAAAAATAACAATAACAACAAAAACAAATAGCTGGGCATGGCAGCAGGAGTCTGTACTCCTAGTTAATCAGGAGGCTGAGGCAGGAGGATCACTTGAACCCAGGAGTTCCAGACTGCAGTGAGCTATGTTCATACCACTGAACTCCAGTCTGGACAAGAGAGGGAGATCCTGTCTTTATTAAAATACACACACACACACACACTCTCTCTCTCTCTCTCTCACACACACACACATATATAGATCACACAAACACATATATATAAATCAAAAAAAATGCAAAGGGGGCAGATTGGTCATACTCCTAAAAAGCAAGAATGTGTGAAGACAACAAAAATAATTGCATCCATGTGTTTCAGCGATCTAATGAGGAACAACCAAACCACCTTGCTTAACCTGCTCCTTGAAAGGGGAATCTTCTATACGAAGCTGCTAAAACTACTACTAGCAAGAGAAATACTAGCAGCTAACATTTATAGAACGTGGGCCACTATTCTAAATATCTCACACCCATTATCTCATTTAATTTTCACAACTCCATGAGGTAGGAACTATTATCTCTATTTTTATAAGAGGAAACTGAGGCTTAGAACACACAAACAACATGTCCATAATTAACGAGCTACTAAGTGGTAGAGATTTAAATAACCCTAGGCAGCTTGACTCCAGAGCTCTTTCAAACCTCTACATTCCCTTTCTCCTCATTCATTAAACATACATTACACACAAAGCCACATTTTAGGAACCGAAGCGCCTACAAGTGGAATAAAAGGCACGGTTCAGTTGAGTAAGTATTTACCCTCACCCATGTGTGAATACCAAAATAGGTAAAACATGGTTTCTCCTCTGAAGGAGCTAGCTCAAGACAAGCACTTTATAACCGTGGATATTCCTTACAAAGGATAAAAGTGGAGAAAACGGGGCTTGCTCGTTTACATTTTTTGTATGATAAACAAGTTTCCAGGTTAATGCCCTGGTATCATGAAAGCAAAGTTCCAGCATTTTAGAATCGGAACAGTTCTGTGAAAAGTAATGCTATCCAAGGAAATGAGAAAGTGCGGTGTAATGCCTCCACTGTCTAACTTTCCCCTGCTGGTGGTTGTGTCTGACCAGAGGATACAAAGTAAAGCTAGAAGATGTGGATGCGCCATCTAAGTCCTTAAAAGAAAAAATCCACCCCCTTCCCATACACCAACCTGGACCTTAACGCGCTCCCCACTCAGGTTCTGGGCCCCGAGAGCGTCTCGCACGCTCAGTTTGGCCGAAGGTTTGTGCCTGGGGCAGGGAGCGGAGGAACAGAAGCGCAGGGCTCGGAGAAGGTACCGGGCCGTGAGCATCGCGCGGCTGCCCCAGGCCCTCCGCGGGACCAGCCCTGAGGTCGGCGGCTCGGACCCTGCCTGCAGGCGCCCACCCTTCTCAGCAGCTCCCCTCGTCTCGGTCGCAGCCCTGCCTTCAGGCGCTACGGAGCCCCTCGGCTGCTCTTTCTCCTTCAGGGCTCCCAGCTGCCCCCACAGAATCCCTTCTCTGTTTCCCTCTTCACAACCGAGAGGAATGGAGACAGCACACTCGGCAAACGCCACAGAAACCACGCTCAGAGGCAGCCCAGGAGCCTCGCCGCCCCGCGATAATTCTAAACCTGCGATTCGACCCCGGGCCGCACGCGCGCAGCCACCGCCTCTACGTCACCACGCCAACGCCGCCTATGTCATCACGCTGTGGAGGTTAAGAGTGAGCATGCGTACTTTTGGCCCTGGTCTAAGGAGGCAGGGCCGGAGGGAGGGGCGGGGCCAGGAGGGAAGGGGCGGAGTTAAGGCCCTGTGGTTGTAGGAGTTATCGCTGAAAATACTAGGAAGTGTATTTGGTTGAGGTGGGGAGGTCTCAGGGTCCTCATTTCTAAACCTTTCAGGTGAGGCTGAGGAACACTGAGAGGCAAGGAGTGACTGATGCAGAGGAAAAACGTCCTTGAGATTCTTAAATTGTTGACAGGATTAACCTGAGTATGAAATCAGTCGTTCCTGAGTTCTGAGCACAGAGAAAAACCAGACATGGTCCCTGCTCAAGTCACAGTTGTGGTATCAGACATCTAAACAGACCATTGCCTTACAGAGCCTGAGTGTGGGATGCCAGAGGTGGCTTCCTGGAGCAGGTAGTCCGCTGACAGATGAGACATTGAATATGGGAGTCACAGGAGGCATGATGGTGTAAAGATGTTGCAGAGAGACTTGGAGGAATGCCAAGAGTTACCTGTCAAAATCTTCAAGTCTCTCTCTCCTCATCCCCAACATAGTTGTCTGCGTTTGTTTCACCTGGAAACAATGCCCCTTTTAGATATTAGGCTACCTTTTAAATTCATTAAAAAAATTTTTTTTTCCTTTTCTGTAACTCAGTGACAGTTATGAAAATGTTTCTATCTAAAAAATGAAAGGTAGAAGTAAGGGCTAGTTACTTAAAGTTGCCACTATTAGTATGCCCATTTTACAGATAAGAGACTTTAGGTACAGAATGAGTAAATGGCCTATTTAAGGGTACACATTCTGTAAGAGTGAGATATAAACCCAGAAGTGCTGGTTCTGTGTACTGAATTACTATGCTATATCATGTCTCAAGGTAGAAAATAAAATCATGGTCCCTTCCATCAAGGAACTCATGCTCTAGAGATGGAAACTGGCAAAAAAAAGATAATCACAATATAAACCAATAAGTATGCATATAGATGTACATGCCAATGTGGAGTGGTAGTCTGGAGAAAATAGTTAAGCTGAGTTTTTGAGGAGAATCAGAATTTTGCCAGGTAGGGATGGAAGAAAATTTCTTGCCAGAAGGTGGGCAGGAAAGGTGGCCAGGAGGATAAATGGCCTGAAAGAATTGTAAAACTGTTCTCAAGACAGACTAGAAAATATCTCCTATGAAAATATTTGGGCACTTCTTGAACCTTGAGAAAGCAAAAACAAAACTTGCCATGAAATGTCTTCAGAATTATGTAGCTATAGGCCTTTAAGAAAAAAATAAGCATGCTTCAATGAGTTAACTGCAAAATCTGGGGGATAATATAGTCTGGGGTACACAGCAATGATGTTTATTCCAGTGCAAATCTCTTCTTTGTCTGTGCCTACCCTGTGCAAGGGATCAAAAGCAGTAACCAGTTGGCTCATCTCCTGCCCCCAGGTATTTTTCTTGCCTTTTGCTATGGTTTTTTTGTCCCCACAAAAACTCATGTTGAAATTTGATCCCCAATGTGATGCTGTTGGGAGGTAGAGCCTCATGGCAGGTGTTTGGGTTGTGGGGACAGATCCTTCATGATTGGCTTGGTGCTATTCTCACAGTAGTGAGTGAGCTCTCACACCTTTGAGACTGGATTAGTTATTTTGGGAATGAATTAGTTCCTGCCAGAATGGGCTGTTGTACATCTAGGACACCCCTCAGGTTTTCCCCTCTTTGCACATGTCCATCCCCTTAACTTTGCCATGCTGTCACTCAGCACAAAAGCCCTGGGCAGAAGCCAAGGCCATGCCCTTGAACTTTTCAGCTTGCAGAACAATGAGCTAAATAAACCTTTTTTCTTTATAAATTACCCAGTTTCGGGTATTTTTTTTATAACAACACAAAATGGACAAAGCTACCTTCTTTGTCCCTCAAACCCTATACCCCATCTGACAATGTGCATCTTAAGAACTGGAATCTGAGTCCTGAAGAGTGGAGATCCTGACTTTCCTTACCCTCCTTCTCCCTTACTACTTGTTTAAGCCAAAGTATTAATTATTTCCTAACCAGAGGACTACTGTCCAGTAGTATTGAAATTAAAATTGTTATTGAAACAGTGATTGAAATTGAAATTAGGGATGGTTAATTTAAAATGGATATAATTGAAAGTTGACAATAGTATTTATGCTTCTGGTGCTGAATTCAAACTATCCTCTGTATCTTCTGCTATAGCAAATCATATCATCTTCTTCTTTATTTTTATTTTCAATGTTGGCTTGATACCTCCCCTTTTAGATTCATCACCTTCTAGATGGTAGCCAGAGTGATGTTTTAAAAATGAATATAGTGTTGGCCCTTGACAACACAGATTTGAACTGTGCAGGTCCATTTACACATGGATTTTTTTCAACAAATATATTGGAGCATTTTGGGGGGATTTGCAATAATTTCAAAAAACTTACAAACTGTTTAGCATAAAAATATCAAAATTAAGAAAAATATGTCATGAATGCATAAAATACATGTAGATACTAATGTATTTTATCATGTATTATCATAAAATAAACATAAATCTATTATAAAAAGTTAAAATTTATCAAGATTTATACACACAAATAGTTACAGGCCATACATGGCATCATTCACAGACAAGAGGAATGTAAACAAAAGTAAAGATGCAGTATTAAGTCATAACTGCATAAAATTAATTATAATATATACTGTACTACATAATAATTTTGTAGCCACCTCCTGTTGCTGTTGCAGTAAGCTCAAGTGTTTCAAGTATCTGCTAAAAACACCATGTGATATTAATCATCTCTAAGTAAGCAGTTCATCTCTCTAGTAAATTGCATATTGAAGTAAATAGTTATCTCTGGCAGTTCTCACGTATTTTTCATCATATTAACTGCAATACCATAAATCTTGAATAACACTATGGGACCCATACGAAATGTCACTAGTGATGCTGGAAGTATTCCCAAGAAGCAGAGAAAGTCATGGAATTATAAGAAAAAAATTGAATTGCTTGATATATACTCTAAATTGAGGTCTGCAGCTGCAGTTGCCCACTGTTTAAAGATAAATGAATCCAGCATAAGAACTATTGTAAAAAAAAAAAAAAGAAAGAAAAAGAAATAAAAAGAAAATGAAACTCATGAAGTCATCACTATAGCTATGTCAGCAGGTACAAAAATCTTGCACTTTTTGTGAAATACCTTTTTCTCTCATACTGAAAGTGCAGCTTTTATGTGGGTACAGGATTGCTGTAAGAAAGACATAACTGTAGGCCTTTCTAATATGATTCAAT